AACACACGCGAACCGAACCGAGACAGTCGAACCGAACGATTCTGACGGTTTTCATAAATCATCCCATCCCTAAAATATATATATATATATATATATATTTATATATATATTCACTATTGGATCATGTAGCTCACATTTTTATTAATATACACATAACATTGGCTTCTTTTTTTTTTCTTGTGTTCAAAAATATATTCTAACCTTTTTTTTGGTCCAGTACAAAAATAATCTAGAAATAAGTGCATTTACCCTTAATTTCAGCAGGTTAATAAGGTGATTTGCCAATAGAATGAGCATTTTTACTCTTAAAATAAGATAGTCAGATAATATGCACTTAGAATAAAGAAATGCAATCGTTTTTTCTTGTTTTAAAGGTAAATTGTCTTGTTCCATTGGCAAAGTGTCACCATTACCTCCTCAATTCAAGAAAAGATGCACTTATTTTCTGAAAAAAATTGACTTATTTAGATTTAAATCTTTTTCAGTGAATGTTCTACATTTGTTGACATTATGTTAATTTCTTAACTTCCGCAGGGCCATCCGGCATCTAGATGGCAAAGAGTACAGAGGCAGGCCCCTGGTGGTCGAAGAGTCACGTGCGCGCCCACCCAACTCCATTAAAGTGTTTGTAGGCAACATCAGCGCTACTTGTACAGCAGATGATTTACATGGACTTTTCTCAACCTTTGGGAGAGTTTTAGACTGTGATAAAGTCAAAGGTAACCAACAAAGATTTTGAAGTTGTTAAAAATCAAAATATTTATCGATACAGTGGCTAAAGGTTTTCTTCCAGAGAAGCAAATGTTAGTTAAAGAAACACTGGAGCAGTTAAATTTTTTGTGTCTTTTAAGCTGATGGCCACATGATTTTTGTTTTGCAGCAAGGTTATGCTCAAATGTTGGATATGCGTTTGTGCATATGGAGAGGAAGGAGGAGGCCCTGGCAGCTATTGAGGCACTCAATGGGACCATGTTCAAGGGGCGTCAGCTGGCTGTAGAGCTTTCCAAAGCCCAACCTTTGATCAATCAGATTGCAGGGGCTGGAGATTCGGCTGCAGGTGCTGTAACAGGAAATTAATAATGGTCTTCTTTTTTTGTCCGCTGACAACACTTCACATGGATCTTACTTTTGCTCCCTGCTTTTAGGTGGCAGAGAAGGTCTTCTTCCACGTCCTCCTCCATCCATGGAACATCACCAGAGTCAAGCAGCTGTGCTAGCGGCAGCTGCTGCTGCAGCCGCTGGCTTGCCCATACAGGTAATGAGATTTCGATCTGGATGATGTGTTCTAGCAACAGATGCACATCATTTTATTTATTTTTTTTTTAATCTAATGCAACTACATTAATCTGACATTAATCTTTTGTTAATATTTTGTCAGACCAGGCTGGTGTTCCTTATCATATAAACAATGTGCATATTTTTCTTCTTTCAGGTTCAACAAAGTGTCCATAACTCATTTTACAACACGACAACCTTTGATCCGACCTACGCTGCTCTCAAAGGCCTCACAAGTTCTAAAGGTGCAGACGGGGTCATATACGGTGCACTTGCCAGCCAAGTGTATGGATCTGTTGCTGACCAGGTCTACCAAGAGCTAGCCAATCACAATCCTGCTAGTGAAGAGGCAGAGCAACCTGCAGTGCCAGATCCAACGACACTTTTTGAAGCAGCAAGAGCCAAGTTTTTTCAGGAAGGACAGAAGGTTTGCTAACTTTTTCATAAAAAGTTCTCTTTAATCCAAATGCGACAACTAAAAGAGCGGCCATGTTGATATTTTTTGTTAAATTCCAATTGAAAGGTTTTGGCAGAGCAGCAAGCTGGAAGAAAAGCAGCGGCTGCCGCAGCGGCTGCGGCCTCATCAGATAATGAGCGAGATCGCAGTCCAATTAGAGGGAACAGAGCCCCTCTTCTACCTGACCCTGTTCCAGGCTCCTTTGCTCAGATCCGCCCCAAACGGCGCACCCTGCTGCCTACGCCACCTGGAGTCTCTGAAGACGCAGCACCTGTCACCACAACATCTGAAGCAGCAGATCCTGTTGCTAGGTAACGCATCCCTGGATGACAAATATGTATTTCTATCTTCTGTATTGTGTAATGATTATCATTTATTTATTTATTTAGATGAACACAGAAATGTGTGTTTTGAAGGACTAAGGAAAATCAAAGTAGTGATGCATTAGACATTTTTTTAATAAGTGAAAAGAAATTGGACAATTTAAATTACATTTTTACATTTAACCTATTTGAGTTTTAAATAAGTTCTTGATTGACAGCGATGATTAAATGTGTATAACAAATCAGTTAAAGTAGTTTAAAGCCAAACTAAAAGCAAATATACATTTTGTATATTTGTCACAATATGTAATTTTTATACTTCTAAATCAGTTAGTATATTGTTATTTGAGAAAACGTAACTTAATGTCATTTAATGATGGTTGCCATTCTTACAATTAATGTTGAAACAGTGGAGAACGCTCTGGTGTCTCATTTATAAAGTATGTATACAGACAAATGGGGCCTAGAACTTCAGCATTTTGATGTCCAAGCAAAAGTATTATAGTATTTTTTTAATTAAGGTCTTAATTGGCATTAAAATTCATTAAATGTGTTTATTGTGGCATTTAAAATGCTTTATTAAAACAAATTTTTATAAAAACGATTTCCTCAGACATATTATATAACGATATATTTGCGTGGAACTGCTTCAAGTTGATCGTAAAACTGTATGTTCAGAAAAGAAGCTTGAGTCAGCAAAAAAGCTAGGAATGGGGGAAAAAGCTAATTTCAACAAAAGTGGCTGGAAAACGAGGAATTCGGGACATGGCTGCAGCCTGTCAACGGGTACTTGTTGGTGGCATTAAGATTATTTCTAAGAGCATTAAAAGCATTAAATTTGAGTTATTTATTCCTGTAGAAACCCTGTCTGTGAAAAGAAAAAACGAAAACAAAACAAACTTGGTAGGAAAATGTGTGGCCCTTTACAAAAACTTGACCGATCCATACTGCCATGCACATTTTGGGTAGATGACCCAGATTGCAACTAAGGTGGGGAACTGAAGATGGTTTTTATCATAATTTCTCTCAGAAATGTAATTTTACTTCTTATGAAGCTAATCGTAGATGGGCTTCATAAACCAGCTTAAATTGAAAATTAAAGTCCACACATTATTTTGATATTTTCTCATCCTCCTCTCCATCGTGATCAACAGGGAGTCAGTCGTACCACAGTTTATAAATAACTGTGGCTGCCAAAGATATTTATCTAAATTTCCACCTCACTCACCAACACATCTATTTGTGCCTCAGTTAATCTGAAATGTATTTCTCTCTCCTGGTTGTAGTTGCCTTGGTAATTTTTAAATAATACTGATCATCTGACTCATGTAAATTCACAATAACATTCATGCATTACTACCCCTCTGAAAGCGATTCGTGCCGAGATTGGACTGAGCTTGGATCAGTTAACCGTGCCAAGCTTGGTTCTACCGACCATTTACACGTCACGCTAGCACAGTTCCTCGCCTCCTATCAGTGGTCCATGATACTACAGCCCTTGAGTTTAGAATTACGCAAACAAAATTGGTGGCACCCATAACATTCGGGAACTTATGTGCCTAGATGGCGTCCTCCGCCCAGTGGGAGTAAGATCTTTGGATGTTTTTCATTGTTAATGCTGAGCTTTAAAGGTTCCAGTTGCAACAGAACATTGTGTTTGGCACGGTCCGGTTCAGTTGCATTCCATTTACAATCAGCAGTTACCATGCTTTCTTGGCACAGTTTAAAAGGTAGTGTAAACGGGGCTTATGGCTAAACGTGGACATGAAGAGAACATAAAACCATACATAATGGGTGTGCACTCCCATTTTCAGGCGTTTAGGATATCTTTACTTTTACTATGGATCCTACACAATGTTTCATAAATGGGACCCCTGGATTCAGAGAGCTTAACAGGAACAGGTTTAAAAAATAAAAAAGGTTCCATAATATTGCTGCTGTTGTATTGTAATACTTTACTGATACATTTTATGAATTAGAACAGTTAAGCATGATGAAAGTGACCTGGAGGGATTAGTTTGTTTTTTAGTTTTTATATCCACCCATTCCTTTCAGTTATTCAAACTAATCTATACTCTATCTAATTTGATGTTGAACTTTGGATAACCTGCACATGTTCTCGTTAAATAAAAAGGATAAAGCTACAGCTCATGTGAGACACCGCACCATCTAATAAGGTCATTTAGTCAGATCTTCTGTGCGTTTCTTCACTGAGCTCAGAAAATATTCCCATCTTTGTTCTCGTTTATGCTAAGCTGCATAATTAAATATGCAAAGGGTTTAATAGCTAAAATATCTCAACAAAATGGGACTCAGCATGCATACTGTCTAAATGATACCACTTATTGTGTAAATTACTAAATGTGTTGTTGTCTGTTGATCTAGATTTTTGCTAGAAGTCCTTTAGGCTCTTTTTGAAAATCTACAAGGTTGTTACTTCCCCTCTCCCAGGCTGGATTAGATCAGTTTTATGGCTTTGTAAAGAAGTGCCGTTCCAGCTCTGCTAAGAGGCTGTGACAGGATCATCTGATTTTCATCTGACATTGTACGCCTACTTTTATTTTTGGCTCAGTCAGTACAGAGTTGATCTTAGCATCCAGTTTTCTGACCACTTCCTCACCATCAAAGTGTCAATTCATAGTTTTTTTGTTTTCTCAAAACTAGGTCACACACAAATTTGGGATATTTTTTTTATGTATATTTTCCTACCCAGTCTTCCTCATCGGTCTCCCCCACTCCGACCGAATTGCTATCATCAATATTTTGAAGCATTTCTAAAGCCTGTTTCACTGTTGGATCCCTTGAAAGCCAAGGAGTTCTAGGGAGAATGTTGGTTGCTAGGCAACGGTAACAAATGACGGTCAACTGCGGGAAAAATTTACAATGCAACTAATAGAGCCGTGAAAATGGCGGCTGTGGGAGATTGAGGTAGAATTAACCATATTTATTTTTTACGTTTTTATTTTATTAAAAAATTACGTGAAAATGAAGGAAATATAGAAACAGAAAAAAAGGTTAACATGAGCAACATGTGATTCATGTAAATAAAGTTCTTTTCCCTTTAAAATCTCCGAACCGTCATGCCGTCCTTGGGAGTTTTAGCGTTAAAAAAGGAGGGAAAAAAACATAAATTTTTAGTAGAACTAAGACTAAATAATCTTAGCCAGATTAGCCATAACTAAAATATTGCCAAATATTGTGATTAATGAAATGACCAAAAACAGTCACTTGCCCTGATATGATTAAAAGATATTCCAATTAACTGACCAGTTGAGGTAGGATTCCTTTGAATCTTATCTTATGGTATGAAGAGAAAGACATTGAGAAGTTTATGAACTCTAAAGGCTACAAGGTGAGGCACGGCTTTGCGGCCCTCATTTGCAAAAGGAGTTTGAAGCCATTAAAATGCATGAATTTACAGCGTATTCAAAATGTCCTGCAAACAGAATGAGATAAACAGAAAACTCCTGCCTAGAGAAACTGCAGCAAGTCAAAATGATGGTTTACAGCCTCTTCCAATATTTTCTGTTCCTCTCACACATTTTTTTTATCTGCTTTGTAGATCGTATTCAGAATACTACCAGCAAATGCATCAGTACCAACAGTATCAACAATATCAGCAACAATACCAGTATCTCCAGTACGCCTACACCAATCCTCCTCCGCCACCTCCCGCACCGGCCAGTGGACAGACCCAAGCCCCCACCACAGCCCCCGCCCCACCAGGGACATACACAGCGCCCCCAACTTATGCCGCATCGGACGCCTATGCCACCCCAGGAGCTTACGCCAATTCAGGAGGTTACGACGCATCATCGGGGGCCTACGACACTTCTTCTGGGAATTACAATGCTTCTTCAGGAAGTTACGACGCCTCAGCAGGATATGACACATCTGGGGGCTACGGAGCATCGGCAGCATATGATTCATCTGGAGCTTACCCAGCAACGGGAAACTACTCCACATCCACACCGTATGAGCAGACACCCGCACACGGGCAACCCACGCCCCAGCGTCACGATTACCCTTACCACACGCCAGAACCCCCTTATCGATAGTCCCCACTCCCTCCACACACTCCATACACACCTCTGACGTGTGTGCTCACGTATATATATACATTTACATGAGGGACAGTTTAAAAAGAAATTCAAACAGGAAGCCAGGTGGTGTCTGAATGAGCTTTGGATCCAAAGCACCATTTTGTCTTTCTTGGCTAAATGTTTTTCCCATTATCGACAAATTAGCGTCTTCAGACGCAAGGAGATAATTTAGTGGCTTTAAACGGGATATTGTTGAGCTTTCAAAGTTGTTTTTTTTTTTTTTTTTTTGTAGAGCAGAACTGGTTCCTTTTGAATGTTGATCCTAAATTGTTGCCTGGAGGCGAGGTTAGAGTTGGAGGTCAAGCTCAACCATTGTTCGTTTTTTTTGCTGGATCAAGAGCCGTTCTTTGGTCTGCATAGTTTCTTCCCAGACTTGGTTTGTTTCTGTTACTCGGTGGTTTCTTAGGGAATCCAGTATTTTTCAATGTGGAGTAATGGCTTCTATTAATTTGTCCTAGAATTTAGTAAATTGTTCGGACAAATTTGAAAATTCAATCACTTGTCACCTATATATTGGTCAACAACAACAACAATCAATAAAGCTACATAAAATAATCTCTGATCACATGACTGAAACTGTACAGAATCTCATTTCTAATCCATACTAAAGATATTCGGTTTTATTTCAGATTAGTTCTAGCTTCATGTAACTGATGGGTGTCCCTAACCTTTTCCCATTTTCTCTCTGTTAGGAAAATGTTTCAGTGATCCCTGTTTTGGTAAACATTTTCTTCCGATAAGGATTTCTACGGTTAATATTTGTGATTAGGACCAATTGATTTAAAGTTTGATTTAATCACTATGAGTTTAGATTCGTTTTTGGATCCATGGCTCGGTTATTGATTTGCAATGGTCTTCCAATTTATTAATTAAATAAAAGCAAATACATTTCCACAATTTTCACTCCATAAAAGGGAATCAACCTTCAGGATGTACTTTTATCCCCTTTATTTCAATAAAATAAGCTTAGAGACATTTGTTAGCAGCGTTTTCCTGTAAATTTTCTGTCGGATTCATAACTGCTACCTCCCATTAATCCGCTGAACACAATTTTTCTCCTGTGCGTTGTTTTCTTTGAGGGTATAAAATCTGTATCGGCACGCCACGACGTTTATCAAATGGCATCTGACATGAAAAGCTCGATCAATGTTTTTCCAAAGGCACCTCATGAAAAAAAAGTAACTAGATATGGATTTAAGCAGAAACTCAAACTGACTTATTTTTCTTTTTTTTTTATTAAGAGAATCTGAAGAAATGCTGAAACGACCCACAGTTAAGATGTAGAATTTCAGTTTTTTTTCCCTCAAGACCATTAGTCTGAGGTTTCATAACTCTGCCGTTTGTTGAGATGCTGATTTGTTTTGCGTTAAGTGCTACAGTTATTTAAACTGGATTCACTAAATTTTATTAAGAATACTTAATTTTGTAATTGGAAAAGCTTTGTGGGAATTTCACTTTTATTACAATTTGGATAAAGTGTATTTGTTAAATTAACCAAGGGACATTGGCACCCAGTTAAACAACTTATGATTTTAAATAAAACGTCTATATTCTCCTCATAGTCTACTGTAAAGAGAGAAGCTCACATCTCCAATTAAAATATTTTTTTCTGTTATTTAAAAGTGGGTAAATCCAAGATTTCAGCAGGTTGTCCATTAGTGTTTTAAGTAAATACGTAAAAATGGATGGATGACGACACAGAAAACGAGGAGAAATGATCTCTTGTTGTCGATGTTTTCTGCTTTAGGCCAGACATCGCATTTGTACAGCCTGGGTTCGCCGTTTTAGCCACTACTACATCAAAGGAGAATCTGGATTTCATTCAGAGTTTACTTTCGTTTTGAATGCTTTACCATTTATTAGTGAAAGCATTTCCAATGCATTCACATTTGTTACATTATTTCAGACCGCTGTTGTGTACTTGTGAATTTGTAAGAGCCAGGGGGATGTCAACAATCAAGCATACATTATAGAAACCAAGTGTTCCAAGTTGCTTTCAGGTTTTCTCTCAGTAGCTGGTTTTCCTGTTGTTGTTTTTTTTTTCTACCACTTCATAGAAATCATCAGAGATAAGGGAAAATGTACACTTTGGTACTCCTGTATATACTCCAATCGTTTTCTGAATCTGAAAGAGCCATGCCAGCCACACACTGGCTGATGATAGAGACTGTTAGCAGGAAGATGGAGTGATTGATTGTTTAACAGTGAGTTGGCAGTCGGGATTCTTTAAAATGAGGCTGTATGGAGGTTTGAGGCCGAGACGGCAAAGGTTGTCGACTGTAGCGATTCCTCATTAAAGGTAGCTGCAGGGTAGATTCTTCCGTTACATGTTGTGGTTTTGTTCGGGTGTTGACTGGGTGGAAATGAGGTGATTTAAATGATTTCCTTGCATCCCCAGCGGCAGTAAGAAGAGCAGATGATTAGTTTTCTCCCAGCCGTTTTTCACCTCTTGATGCAAAAGTTGAATTTGGCTTCTTTTGGGTTCCCATTAGTTACTTTGCACTTATAATCTATCCAACTTGGTTAATAAAGGCAGACTAAACCTAATAATAGCCCTCCTTCTGCAGTAGTGTCTTGTTTTTTCATCGGGCACCCCAGCTGACAGTGTAAGGTTCAGATGACACATAGCAGCTAAACACTTTCACATTATTCCACCTTCTCCATGTGAACTGTTAGTTGCATGCATTGTTGTTGCTGCTGCTCCAGCCACCTTCTTCCTCTTGCTGATTATTGCAGCTAGAGTGGGAGGGAGCCAAACTGAGCCCTTGCCCCGGACGTTCGCCGCACGCAGCTGTAGAGTGGGATGGGGAAAACAGCAGCGTTAGGCCTGAAACTGCTGTGGACGATGGGGGTGTCCCCCCACTAAAGGTAAACACTCAGACCACACACTTCTGCCCCGCCCCGAAACATGCGAACACACTCACAAGCATATTTTTTTTTTTACTAAACAGGAACAGCCATGTTCGTGCTTAGTATTCCTTTTTTTTTTTGTCTTTGGGCTTTTAATTGGTCAGGATTTCTGATATCTGGAACTTTTTCTCCTGTTTTTTAATTTTTTCTTTTTTTTAACGGGAGTCAATCTTTTTTTTTCTCTTTTTTTTTCCTCCTCCTTTGGTTTTCTGACTTATTTTTCTTCAAGCATACTGAGCTCATACATTCCTGTTTCTGACTTGTAAAGTCACCAAACCTCTTGAGGACATTTCTACCACCTTTATATTAAAACTGCTTGTTTTCAGCAGACATTTTGTTTTTACTGCTGCCTATCACTAAAGAAGTACCGGGCAATCACAGCCAGAACCAGATTCGGGACATTTCAGTGGGGTGGGATGTTTTAGTTTTATTAAGGTGACCCGGCGGCCACTTTAGGGGTTAAGTGCCTTGATGAAGAGCTCTCCATTTCAGAGTTGAATATCCTGGCTCAGGATCGGTTGCTGGTACGGCGCAAGACTCCCCATCTCCAAAAAAAAAACAATTTTTTGATGCCACTTTCAACTTGTAAGAATGGCAATGAACACAAATTCTACAATGTTTTAAATTACATTTTGTTCTTTGTTCTTTGAAATGTTTCATTATCAATAAATAAATTTCAACCAAAGTTTGCGCGTGTGTGTGTGTAAATATTGTGCTTTAGCAGGATAACTCTTGAGATCAACATCAGATGATGGTTTTTATTCAATTTTCTTCCAAAAAACATCAATATATGCCTTTAAATAATAAAAAAAGAAAATTATAACATATAATTAGGATTGTTATTATAAGGGAGGTTAGGATTATTATATAATTCAATAACAATCCTAAACTGTTAGAACCTAGTCCCTGCAAAGATGATGTTGCCAAAGACACTACAAAGTTTCATCCTCTCAACAACAGTAAATCGGCTAACAGATGGACACAAGGAGATTAAATGCAGTACACAGAAATGCTATGTTGAGGTGATGACATGACTTGGTTTATGCATGTACTCGGCTATCAATATGAAAATGCAGCAGTTTCCAAAAAAAAAAAAAAGTAAAGTTTCCAGCAGAAAGACCAGAATGGGGACTATTGTCTACAGTAAGTGAAAAGTTATTTACTTTATAAGCAAATAGTTTATCTCTCAAATAGAAACATTGCTAGAATTGTGTGGTTACCTGTTTAAGACTAATGCTAATTTTAGTATCTTTTATTTACTTGATTACTCTGAAAGACTGTAAATTAATATTTATAGAACTGTATTTTCAAGATCAGCTCTAGACCCGTAGACCCCATACATGCAATGGCCACTTTATTAGATTGGCCTGTTATTTTTTTGGCGGCTCAGCCAATCGCATGGCAGTTACTCAGTGGATTTGGACACCTAGATGTGCCCGAAGCCGAATCTGGATTGTCAATATAAGTTCAAATTAATCGTCAGAAGGCAGAAAAAAAGGGAATTGATTGTTGGTGCCAGAGTGGTTTCCTGGGTATTTCAGAAACTGTTGATCATCTGGAGTTGAAGCACACGACCCGCTTTGGTTTTCAAGAGAGTGTTTAAAAAAGACATCAAAGATGACTTGTTTGAATAGAAAACTGCCCTGGTGCTGTCTGAGGGTAGCCTCGGTGCCAGTCCGAACTTAGTCCCGCCCACAAGGTTTGAGTTCGGGGAAGTTCGGTCTGGCTCTGCTCCATAGTAGCGCGAGTATTATCGCCCACTGTCAGGCGATCCAATCAAATTGTCAGGGCGGGCTTTATACGATGATGGACAGATGATCAACAGTAACGTAATCAACCACGTGACCAAAGCGCGCTTGGGTGACAACAACAATGGCTGCCGCTGGAGAGTTTAGGTGAGTAGATTCTGCTATTAGGTCTGTTCTAGAAGATATCGACAGCAAATTAATTTTAAAAGAGGAACAGAGAAACGCAATCAAGTCTCATCATATTATTATAGGCGTGCAACTGCACGCTTTGATTTTTGTGGACAACAACTATGCCTCGCTTAACATACGTCACGCACTCCGTTGCTCTTATTGGTTGTAGATCTATCCAATTGAGTGCAGAGGCATTTTTTTTCCTGGTTCGTTCGAAACACGCCCCATAATCACAGCTCTATGGAGCAGTATCAGACTCATATTCTGACTAGAATTGAGTCGGACTACGTCAGGCTAGTCTGAGGGTATTGGGCAGGCTGGTTTGAAATGATAAAGGTGACAAAAGGTCTAGTAAGCGCTCCTCCCTCCACTACATACAGATTGGTCTCTGAATGTCTGCGATGTCAATCTGTAAAGCATGAAGTTTAGAGCAACTATAAACTGCCAAACCTGCAATCACTCCTGACCTCTTTGAATATTGAAGCTGCAGTGATAGACTGGATTTACCTGACTGGAATAAATGGTAAAACCATTGCCTTGTTTCATGAGGTCTGATTTCACATAGAGAACAAGGGAGTATGAATCCATGCTGTCTTGTACCAACAGTTTAGGCTGGTGTAATGGTTTTGGATGGTTTTTTGTTTTTCTTGGCACACAGGGAAGCACAGTTAAAACATTTTTGTTTTTTTCTTTCAATTTTACAACAAACTAACCCTTCCTAAGAGAATGTCTTCCAGCAGGGTAATGAACCATGTCACAAAGTGCAAATCACCTTTAACTGTTTGTTGTTCTCCAGATGTTGTACAGGGCACCTTTGTGAAGTTGTAACACAAGGGTATTGCCATAGATATGCAACACTTAGATATGACACAACTTCACTATGTTGTCTTACTATTGACCAAATCATCTAAAGATTTTTGACTGTTTCTTGAGGTTCAAAGGAGTCAAGTTTGTTACTAGCAATGCGTAGTTGATAAAGTGGCTGGTGACTTTAGTTAATGTTTGATTTTGCACATCTACAGTTAGGCTCAAAGTTATTTATACACCTTGCAGATTATAAAGTGATGTTTTATTATTGCCAGCAGGAATCTTCTGACTTAAAGCATTAACTCATTGAGTGAATTAAAGGTCCTGATTTAGAGGTTGAAACTATCTAGAGAGATGGCAAGGAGGTCTTCTAACCTTAGAGATACACCGCAAAAACATCTGTGAAAATTGTTCTACAGCAATCTTTTGAGCGATACATGTTATTCCTTAGAAAGAATACTTTTAAAGTAATGATAAATCTATGTCTGGGGTATTAAGGATTGTTTCAGCTAGGCAGAGTAATGTCTGCGGAGTATAAAGGCCTTTAAGAACTTTATTTCATGTATCTTTCTCTTATACAGTTTAGTTGCAAATACCACAGTTGATATAAAACAGTTAATGTTTTTATTTTGCATTGTTAAAAATAAAGTTTCTGGAAACCACTGCATTGTGGTGGATGACTGGGATCTTGGTTTCTGATGGTAAGACAGGACAACACCCAAACACTGAAGAAACACCACAGAATGTGAACCAGACCAAACACAAGTACAGTACTTCGAACCACAACCTCCCAAGATACTGCTGGCTTGATATGAAAAAGGAGCGAGCATTCAAACACGCGTATTGAAAATAGCAATGCTTTAATAAAGAGCAATTTTTACAGAACTGCAATGTCTAGCTAGTTGGGTGTTAACCGGCATTGACATCCACAGCGTTTTACAGGGATGCAGTCGTGATAACTGGGTTTGAAGGGGGTTACTTGCAAGTTGCATTTATCCATGCGAGGCAACCTTCAAACAGTTACAGACCTGACATCGTAAAACACCTGATGATGAATGTCAAGAGGTAAGTTTAAAAAAAAAAAAAAATTTCAATGAGAAAGTTCCTTAACATTTTCCAAACACACCGGTAAGAGTGAGTTCACACTATGGTCATGCTTTTACCGGGCACACAAGCCAATAAAAAGACGACACATAATCATGCAAAAGAGACAGTGTTGTTTGTCTTTAGAAAATAAAAGAACCAAAGAAAAGAATCCTTGGAGTTCTGATATCATCCATCCTTCGTGACCTTGGATAAGAAGCTGCGCTTTGATGATGACTTTGGTGCAAAAAATGTTCCTGTTGCAAAGAGGACAGACCCCGTCCTGTCCTCTTTTTTTTTTTTTTTTTTTTCAATGAAGACACTCTTGGTATTGACCAGTTGTGATAGTTTTCCCGTCGACCCCAACCCCCCCTCCCTTCCCGCCGCTTCCATCTTGAGATGGACACAAAGAGCACAAACATCGACCCAAGCCCACCCGCCCATCCCTGGATGATGACAACTTCAAAAGTACAACCATTCAAACATAGATACAGCAATAAATTGTCCAACACAGTAAGTCATCCAATGGGGCTTTGATCACGTTCACAGAGAGAGCACGTTTAAAAACACATGAACAGCATTACCTATATACAGAGGGGGACACAGTAACAGTCAGATCCCAGGATGGGTTGAGTTGTGAAGCTGAGAAGCTTATTGGAGAAAGCTTTCAGCTCAAGGACAAACCACTGGAACAAGAACGATGGAGTGTAACAACAGCTAACTTGTCAAATAGATGGAACCTTAAGATATCTGCCTGCTTGAAGATGATTTCTAACACATCTCTGCTGGTAGTAGAGTCTTAGCTGCAGGTAGCCTGGTGTCAGTTGAACTTAACCTTAAATCACTACGCCATTATACGTTTGGTCTTCTCTAAAGATTCAGTTAGAAATCACCTGCTGTCTGAAGAGTCCGGTTGGACTGCATTCAGCAGGCAAAAGATCCTTAAGCCGCCTACAACTAATGTGTTGTACAGACTCAGACAGTCACAAGAACACTCAATGCTAAGTTAGTACGCGCTACCATGTCGCTTAGAGACTTTCCATCTCTAACCGAGGAACATGACCCTGTTAATCTCTATGCGAAGGCATGTGCACACAAACACACACAGTACATGTACATAGAACAAACATAATCAATAGAAAACGACCTTACCCCCAATCAATTATTGCCCCTTTTCACTGTACATCCCAGCAATGATTTTAAGGTTTTTGTGCAGCAGAGCATTGTTCCTTCTTCGAAGGTTTGTGCTATAAATATATGTATATATCTATTATCAGACTGTGCGTCTGTCTTGACCTTGGATCTGCCAGAAAATCCACATTAGCGTTTAATGCCTCATTAAGGCTCCTCGTCTCGGGCTGCCTGGATTGATCTGTGCGCCATCACTGCAGGCGTACCAGGGCTGTGATCACAAGACATTACCCTCAGCCGCTTTCTGATGGTCGGGTGTTCACTGGACTTCTTGCAATGACCTTTAGCTATCCTAATTGTATAAGGCTTGATTAACAAAAGCCCAAATCCTCTGGGTAAAGGTTGCACATGAGCTGGAGTCGTTGCCCAAATCAAGTGTTTCTGAACAAGTCTAAACATGTAACTAATTTAGGACACAGAGAAAACAACTTCTGATTGGCCAGACTTAAAATCCCCTTCTACGTTTCACTATTAGAGCAGCACAGGTATACAAGAGAAGGTTATAAAATAACCAGGAAAAGTAAAAGAATTCTATACAGAGAAATGTGGACAAATAAAGTATGCTGTATCAGAAGGGAGCTTCTAAACAGGCCAAAAGTGGGAAAAGGACAGTTAATGAGGTTTTACAATATCTCACAGGGAAAACGAAAAGGAAAAACAATGTGTACAGCATGTCCCCAAATAGCAAAGTTAGTATGAGAGGTCTGTTTACATCCAAATGCAATAGCTGGGTCTGGCTCAGTGCTTTCATCGGTTAGTTCCAGTGCAGTAACACAATGGCACCTGGCAACACAGTTGTGACATCAGGTACCAAAAGATAATTTATACACATCCACACAGAGTTCACACTCTAAAGAGCTACGTCCATCTACAGTCAAACAGGCATACTTGAAAATCATTGTTTAACGCATTTAAGACAAAAAAAAATGTTGATGCAGCTTGCAGAAATGTATAAAAATAAAAGCAAACATCTGCACACACTCAAACCACTAATATCAAGTCATGAACGACAAGCAATCAGGAACCAATCGGAACAAAATGCTAGGATCATCTACGCAGAAACACACCCTTGGCAATAGTTCACATTGAGTAAAGTGCCAGCAAATGGTCGAATCAGAGAAAGGGATGTTTGCCCTCCAAGTTTGATTCACATGTTGGATGCGGAGAGATGCAGGTTAGTCTTCATAAAGGTTATTAACACGAGAATTGGCTCAGGAGAAGGTGAAGAACTTCCATATAGCTGTCAGTCTCTTCAATGTCAGCATAGGCTGGGATTGCCATTTGAAGAGGCCAAAGATAAGTTGCGTTGAACTGATGAGGAGCCTCTGACTCTCCAGGTTTGCACTCATGGGTTAAAGACAGACTAATCTGTAAGCCACATGGAGAATAGAAGGTGAAGTAACAATAAATTGACATCAGTATTTCATCTTCTCCTAATCCTCTGGTCTGGTCCTTCCATTCCCTCGACATTCTTTCTTCGTCCTGCACTGGATTTGGTTATATACTTGTGTTTGCTGACAGCTCTTTCTTTTCGATCTCTTTCTCTTGCCTCTTTTCTCTCAGCTTTGCTGCTATGGTTACAACATCATCTCTACATGAAGTGCATCTGTAGAAGGCAAAGAAGAGAAATGAGAGTAATTCAGTCCAACAAAACAACTCATCATGCATTCAGGCAACTCGTGATAGTGTAAACACATTCCTTGCTGCAGTGCCAGGAAAACAGCTTTTTGACCCATGTTTCCAATCGTTTTAAAACGCAGTTCCTCAGAAATTGAAGCAGTCTTACGATTTAATCCTTTATCGCTCCAAACATCCAACCTATTTGTTTGTGATCACCAGTCTTACATTTTTCCAGTGTTCTTGGAGGAATACAAAGGAAGTTTGTCTTTGGTGAGTGGTTCTAATGTACGTTAATCCTAAATGAAATAAAATCATGGCATTTACAAAACTTTAATTTTGAAATATACATTCATATAGCAATTATTATTTTAGAACTCCAACAAGTAACAAACTAAAAGGCTCAACATTACTAAGGGCTCTCCTACCCATGTGAAAGTTTCCATAAGATACACATATAAGTCTGTTTTGTTTAAATTTTCCTTTGCTGGAAGCATCAAGGATTACCACTCCTTTTTGATGTCTGTGTCGAAAGTTGTGATAATCTACACATTGGAAGACCTAATTTGTGAGCTGTTGACTACAAACTTTACTATTTGTAGTAATCTGTAAATCTTTTATCTGTCATTACCAATCCTGTATCATAACCCCACTAATATATATATACATATATATATATATATATATATGTATATATATATGTATGTATATTAGGGATGGAACGGTTTATGAAAACCGTCTGTCTTTGTTTGATTCGCGTGTGTTGCGTTCAGTGATGGGAGTAATGGCGTTGAAAGTAACGCTGTTACTAATGCCGCTACCTTTTTTTAATAACGAGTAATCAAAATTATTACTCTTACCCTAACTATAACGCAGTTACAATTGCCGACATCCTGTTACTGCACCGTTACTCAGGTCGCACAATTAACCTTTTTTCATGATAGGACTCGTGCGCGCGTCATGAGAGAGGGGAGGATGGAGGGTGAGGAGGACTCCAGCGGCAGTGTTTTCCAGATGGAAATACCGTTGTTACGTCGAGCTGCGTTTCCCCATCAGATACGGTTTCCCCTGCATCTCCTCACAGCGCGGCGGCACGATTCACCGCGCAAGCGGCAGGAAATGCGCCTGCTTGCTAAATGCGCGTAACAGCCGCCCTGTGCTCGCGCCACAGGGGAACTACGGAGAGCGTGAACAATCATTAGCCTATATGGAGAAAGGGAGAAATCTGGATGGATGGATGATGGATTGATGGATGGATAAATGATGGATGATGGATGGATGGAATAAATAGATAGATAGATATAGATAGATGTTGCAGTATCTATAACAACCCAAACACAGGATTTCAGAATTAGACATCCCCAGTTATTAATTTCATACACTTGCAAAAGTAACGCAATAGTTACTTTTACTAGTAACTAGTTACTTTTATTGTGGAGTAACTCAGTTACTAACTCAGTTACTTTTTGGGAGAAGTAACTAGTAACTATAACTAATTACTTTTTCAAAGTAACGTGCCCAACACTGGTTGCGTTCGGTTCATGCGCTGCTCCTTTTTCTCATAGGCGAAGCGTTTACACTCCAGAGCAGAAAGTGGCGGTACTGCGACCAAAGCCAACCACCAGTAGTAAACAAGAAGAAGAAGAAGCGAAGCAGCGTAGCCGGGTGTAGCAGGGAAAAATCAGTTGTTGTGGAGAATTGTATGGGTATGGCGAGTGGGAAAGAACAGGAGTTGGAAGACGCGCCAGCAGCACTTTATAGGTCTGCTGTATGGGACCACTTTGCATTTAGAGTGACCTACGATGACGGCGGAAAGAAAGTGCAACAGTGTGCAAGCATTGTGCAACACGTTTTGTTTCTGCTAACAGCAACACGACCAACATGTCAGGCTAACAATCTACATATACAGAAACGAAACGAAAACCGTGACCACGAAACCGTGAACCGAACCATGGATTTTGTGAACCGTTCCACCCCTTATATATATATATATATATCCATATCCTAACTTTCCTGTATAATCTGTATATAGCTTCCATATATATTTATTTTATTGCCCCTTGCAATTACTCTCTATTTATATATACCATTTGCAGGCTTGATTATTTACATGTGTACAGAGACTATGCATACATAGTCTCTGTACACATGTTTACACATGTAAATAAATATTTTTATCCTGTATAGCACTTCTGGATAGATGCAAATTACATTTCGTTGCTCTGTACTTGTGACAGTGTAATGACAATAAAGTTGAATTCTATTCAATTCTATTATATTAGGAAACGCAAGGTTTGGACAACAGACGGCATTCTTGAGGCCAAGTCTTTTCTCAATATTTTTTTCTCTGTAATCTTGTGTTTTTGTAAGTTAGTAGGTGGTGGAGTAAGTTAAACTGGCATAAACCTAAAGGCAAATGTATGTGTCTGAATTACCTGTGTACCAGGGATGGGTCCAAAAGGATTGGTGGGTCTCAGGACAGGCTGGTTGTACATGACAGGCTGTGGGGGTAACATTTGAACGCCCCCCATTTGATGACTCATCTGAGGGGGGAGCTGGGCAAAGCACAGGTGAGAACAGGATGAGCGTATTTTAAAATGTATTTTATAAATGTGTTTCTGGGGGTTTAACAAAGTCATGCTTTACCATTCCATACACAGGCACTTGGGGTGTCGTCATAGGAAAAGCCACTGGTGCTGGAGCCTGTACAGAGAAAAAAAAAACTAAAGGTCAATGAATCTTATTATGATACTCCTATATTAATACTTTTACAATGCAAGTGCAATATACAGTGCATATTAAATAAATAATAAACTGCTCCAGTGAGGATTGTTTTAAATATTAAAAGCACATTTTGTAGTTAACTTTTAAGCTGTTATTCAAAATACTTCTCATGAAGCACACATTTCTGTATTGAATATGTTTTTGTTTTTCCTGCGTAATATTCTTATTTTAAATGTCTACGTCAGCTGTATTAAAGGGATTTTCATCATAATAAACCTAAATAAAGGCATTAAACTGTCATTCATTACAATGTGTTGGCTTATAACAATATAAACAAAGTTAATGAAATGAATGGCTTTTTGAATTCTATTAAAAAAATGTTCATAGGTTTGTAAAAAGTATAGTAAACATAAATTTCCTTTTACCAAGACATCAGGAAAAAGTACATTTAATAAAGTTACCTTTAAGTTGACAGCAACAATATGCCACATGAGTTAAAAGAACAGTTAAAAAAAAAGGTTAATAGAAGAATTAATTAAACTTACATATCCCGTATAGATCATCCCATTCTGTAGAGAATTAGAGATAAAAGAAAAGAGAAAACTGTCAATTCTGGTCCTCATACTTTAGGTTTAAATTGCACCATCTTTTAAAATGGCCAAAAGTGCAGCAACCGAACCTTTGTCCATTCATCATGATATAATCAGTTCCGCTTTGTATTCAAGTCTTGCCTCTGGCTTTCTGAACCATTTCCTTACAAAATGAGCAGTTAAAGTAAAGAGCCCATTTGGTCCAAAAATTATGAGGATGAAACCAGACTAAATGGAAGAGACAGGGAGATAATCACAGTGAAGCACAAAGGGCAAATAGGGATAAATGATGGTGTCTTTGATGGTTCAAGGCTCTGTCAAGAAGTCATTTTTGCTATTTATATAATTTTAAGAGAAAACGGTTATAAGCTCTCAAGTACTCAAATGATTGGGACTGTTCTGGATGCATCATCAATCTACAAAAATAGCAACATAAATAGACTCACAATACAATGAAATTAATTATATTTTCCAAGAAATACCATATCCTTACAGTATTCTTTTTATCTTATAATCTTAGAAAAAAGCCATCATTAACCAGAAATATTGCGCTTGTGGATACTTTCTCCCACATTCGCATTTTGACTCTCACAACCTACAGTTTTTGTAACCCCTGAAAATAATGATTTTAAAAGAGTAAAAGTAAAGAAATTTGCAACTTAAGTAGGAGACTTCCAACATGGGGAGTTCTCAAGAGAACAGGGGGGCTCTGATTGGTCAGGACAGAAAGTACAGTGAGGCCATAAAAGTATTTATTCAGCCACTGCAGCAAGTTCTCCTACTTAGAATAATGAGAGACGTCTGTAATTTTCATCATAGGTACACTTCAACTATGAGAGATAAAATGAAAATAAAAAAAAATTAAATCCAGGAAATCACATTGTAGGATTTTAAAAAAAATTATTTGTAAATTAAATTAGATGTAAATTTTTTTCTCATAATTACAAGATATGATCTCGTAATAACGAGATCTTTTCTATGTATTTGGTTATGATTACTTGAGTCAGTAATGAAGCATGTCTCAGAAAACTGGTCTTCATGATTTCTTCTTAAAAATATCTGCATCTGTTCCACTGATACGCATCCTGATACGCGTTGGAGCCACACTCCTGTTTTTCACTTCATCAACAAAGTACCCAGCTTTAACCCTGGGATTACTACATGTGGAGTAAGCATGTAGCCTTATGACCATACGTGGAAATCCCTCAACAGCTCCATTAAATACAGATGCCGTATGGTTTTAGTTTTTCATATGAATCGACATGCCACATAAAGTTAGAACCTGGTCGTTTTAAACGATTCTGAAGCCTCAGCTGTACTCCTTGCACATTTAGGATTTTGAGATCGGCAGACAGTTCTTTTGGACATCACCAAGCCAGCTGGAATGCATTTCAGATGCATTCATTTACAGCCGTAAAGCATCCTTTGCTGGTTTAATTGCTCCTGCAGGAACAGCGCGACTTTCAGCAAGTCAGAGTAGAGTGGGCTTTTTTACCTAAACAATTCTAAAGACTTATTGCACAATGCTGACAAACTAAAACTAATTCCATCCACATTGAGGAAACTCAGTATTTCCCAGTGTTGCATACCTAAAAGGAAATAAAATCAGATTAAATCCGATAACTTACTCATTGTTCACGTTTCATGTAGCTTAGCTCGGCAATGAATGTCCTTCATCATCTCCTAAATATAACATATTATCTTGTAATTATGAGAGAAGATCTCATAATATTGAGATCAGGTTTTAATAATTAGGAGATCTGTATCTTTTTTCTTTGGTGAATGCAATACGCTTCCGTACTGGGAGCCTGAGTGAGGACTTTAGAAGTGGGGTTATGTGCTCTATTTTCTTAGTTTTGGTGAGAACACAGGCAGCAGCATTTTGGACCAGAAACTGTTGTCTGACTGATTTTTTAGGCAAACCTATGGACACTCTTGCAATAATACATTTTACTTAATATTGACACAAATACATTTTTCAAGGCCCTTCTGATACATTAAACCTGGACATGTTCTTTAGTTTGTAGAAGGACAACTTTTTTTGCTGTCTTTATGATCCGAGGACATCATTACACATTTGGAGTCTGATTGGTGGTTTCTATCTGTATACACTGAAGCTGTGCATTAAATGTTTGATCCAAATACATTATGTTAGTTTTGCCTTGATTGAGCAGATAAACATTTTGGCAAATTATTGCATTGATTTCTTTAAGCACCTGGCAAATGATGTCACTTCAACATGCTGAGAGTTATGTAGTTAATGAAACACGTAATTAGATATGTACTGTTTTAAATAGAAAACTTAAACTGCAGTGGCCACATTTGAACCCATAGAAGGCAGGACTAAGATAATGTTAGGCCAAATATTGCAGAAGTAGGAGGTGGAGCTTAATGTTACCATCTGAGGGACCGCCATGGGTGCAGGTGCCATGTGATGGGCAGCATGAGTCCAGTTGGTGTTGGTACACATAGTCTTTGACTGCCAGCCGCTCCCTCCTGTGGGTTTCTTCTCCACTATCTGGTTCCACTGGAACTCTGGCCTGATGCACACATACGGAAACACACAGAGAACAGGGCCACACGTACAAGTGCATTTTATTACATCACATCATCAAGAAGTTAATTAATTTTACACGAAAAGTAATACATTTCAAGGATTAATGATGATTACTGGTTAGAGATAATGCAAAAGTAAAAAATAAGGGTGGTTAGATACAGATGTGTAACGCTGTGACCTAAACTAGTGGAATCCATAGTTCAGAATGGAGCAAAGAGCCACAACTGCAGACGAGGTGAAGGCCACTATTAGAGCAAAATGCCCATCCTTAAACCTTCTGCAATGACTCAGGCTAATCGCCTCCATGCTGCAGCAAACCGATGTAGTTATCCAGCCAAATGGAGCCAAGTCCAAGCACTGTACATATACTAGTGTGTATGAATTATGCTTTATGAACAATGTTACAGTCTTGTGTAGAATTTAAATATCTTGAGAAATATATATTGGGTTTCACTTAGCTTTAAGCTTTATTTATTAAGTTTGAAAGACATAAACACTTGAAATGTATTATGCTATGTTATGAATTAATAAAATATTAGTCTTTTTCAAATTTTTAAAATGCCATTCTAATTTGTTCAGATGCACCAAAGTCCCGTATCACAGACAGAAAGGACAAGTTTATTTTTAAGCTGAGCTTACTCACTTTTTGGCTGGTGTGCCCCCAAACTGCAGGTCTAAGAGAAGAAACAGAAATTAAATTTCTCAGATGGTAAAAGTGAAGATGAAAACATGGCATCAAGGAGTGATTTAACTTACTCCCGACCAAGTTTGCTAGTGAAGAATCCAAATCATTGGGCAGCATTTTACCAGAGTGTAATGGAGCTCCAGGGCTGTGAATCTGAGTAAGTGGGGAAGGCTTTAGCAGGTCTCCTGATAAAAAGAAATAAATTAAAGGATAGAAGAGAGCAAACAGGTACAGGACACAGTGCAAATACAAAATAAATGTGCAGCCTATCTAGTTCTTACTGTTTGTCTGTGAGCATATGGGAATCCCAAAGGTATGAATAATCATTACTATAATTTCATTGTGCAGGGTTGTGAACACAATAATTAGATTAGTTTCATTGCTAACATCAAGGAAAAAAAAATAGCAACAAGCGCATAGCATCCAAGAACACAGATGAGTGCAGAAGACTGATAAAGTTTGGGATTTTAAGCTCAGGCATCAATGTGTAACATAATGTTCACCAAAGGGAAAAGCAAGGATAGCAGCCTCTAGCTTGAAATTAGGTTCTAAAAGGTTTTCTGGGGAAGAGGAGGAATTCAGGTCAAGAGAAATGCTGGAGAGCAATAGCTTGGAGATCTAGCAAACAGCCAGCCTATGGAGGTATGTGAGGAGCTACTTTACAAAACCAGCCTGCCACCAGTTCAGCAACGCCTCTAACCAAAAAACATGATTTGAAAAAGGAATCTGCAAAAATCGATCTAGAAAACATTCTTACATTAAGGATATTTATCCTTAATTTAAGCTAATGGAATGAGTACTTATAAAATAATTAGATAATATGCATTTGAAATAGGACAAAGCAATTGTTTTTTCTTATTTTTAACGTAAATTGTCTTATTCCATTGGCAAAGTCCCTCATTTACCTCCTCAATTCAAGACAAAATTAGCTTATTTTCTGAAAAAAAATAAAATAATAATATTTAGACTTCAATTTTTGCAGTGTAGAATTCTGCCATTGTTTAAATGTTTTCCCAGGATTGTTTCTTTGATGTGCGCACTCATATAGCAGTGATTTCCTTCCAACATGTGTGCTCAGAATAAGCAACCTTTAGGTTAGGACGTCATACAAAGGTCCTTTAACCATCAGAAACATCCTCTTATCAGATGGTGTTGTTTTGTGCCATTCAAAACCTTAAAGTGTGCCTTAATATGAATATTATATAGCCTTCTCATTTCACTTTATGGTAATACTAATGCTACACATGGGATGCATGATAGGGAAGTTAACGTACTGATATACAGTCAGTTAGCACATATTTCTTTTTTTCGATATTTAAAGATGTTACGGCTTTTACCTGGCCTATAACAGAATGCTTTGCTAATTATTTGCCAGTGTATGTGTAGCGTTATAAGCGGTCCCACCTCCCCATGCATTGCTGTTGTTGGGCACAGTGTGTGTGGTCTGGATGGGGGTGAAGCTGGGCTGCAGGGCGAACAACTCGCCGCTCAGGTTTGGCACACTAAAAGTACAAAAACAAAAAAAGGTGAAGATTTATATCTTAAGCTTTTAATGTAATTGACGATAGAGATTTGGGATTCTGAATTACGGTAAGAGAATAAGATGAAGCTGGACTCACTGGTTATTGATGGATACGCTGGGTGAGCTTGAGAAGAGATCTGTGGCCCCTCCGCTGCTGTTGGCACTGCCCACCGACTGGGTGCTGGGCGAAACAGTAGGCGTCTGAATGTCGATCACTTTGTGACCGTCCTCCTGCAACAGAAAATTATACATTTTTCCCCTTTTTGTCAAGCTGGTAAAACATTTAACAATTATTTAAAAAAAAATAAGGACCTCAAGGCATTTAAAGGAAGAAACTGCTTGCAACACAGACTTATTTACACTCCCTTCATTTCTATTCACTGTGCATTTCTCTACACTATGGGCTGGCAGCCAGACAGGCAGTTTATTTCATTGCACTGCAGAATTAATGTACAAGCCTATTCAGCTCTAACAACAGTAGGGAGCACAAAGAGACTTGATATATAGATTTCTTCACAGTTCACTCACATTTGAGCGCATTTCTTTCCAAAAATACCAACAAAATCTTGGCTCACAATCACATTGTGCTGTAGCCATGCATCACCCATTTTAGCTGCCTAAATGTATCAGCAAAATGGATATTTGAGTTTAGAGGTGGAAGTAAATGTCTCGCCTTATGTTGCTGCAGCCGGTTGTCCTCCGTCTTGTCATCCATGCGGCTGAGAGAGATGCCAGCACTGGAGAGGGACGACACTGTGCTCGACAAGGTGCTGGATCTGGAAGTTAGAAGTATCGTCTCTTTATTGAAAAGAAAAACCTGCTTAAACCTTTGGTATTGCCTTGATATTTTCACAAAGGGTCGCATTAAACTGCTTTAAAAAGATTCTAATTTTGCAGCAGAGTGCAATTTTTTTAACCATTTATAGTTAAAAGATAGATTTATACATCAGCCAGTTGATGAGGCCAATAAATGTACAATATCATTGTGAAAACGAACATCAGCAGTTATTTCACTGCATCAGCTGCTGATTATCTGAGATGACTCAGAAACCGTTGATGAGCGTAATGGATTGCCATCAGACTGTGGCATCAGCCATTATCAATCACTAAAACAGACACATTTTTCCAGCGGCTGCACAATTCAGGGCTTTTCCTTTTTTATGGATCTGGTTCAGTATGATACGAGATAATAGCTGTTGTGCCATATAGCTTAACGCCAGACGTTTTACAGAATGAATTTTATTCTGATGATCCTTTTTTTTTTTTTTTTAAATGAAAGAATCGAAGGGTTCACAGATAAATTTCCCTTTTGTCTGATGGTTCATCACTAGAAACTCTCCAGGGATATGGTTCTGTTGGTTCCAGATCAAATGAATGCAGTAGAAGACAAAATGTATTGTTTTATTTCCCTATGAATATAATTGAAAAATATTTTAAAATTAAACATAACCATCATAAAAGTAATTAAATTAGAACAATGTGAATTATTTAAAAAAAGTAACTCAGGATAAGCCGGTTCTACATGGAAAATGAATGGGATAAAAACTATTAAAAAATGACCATTTTAGGGTTTGAACCATATGTTATTTTCCATCAATGCTGTCGCTACTGTTTGGATATTTGCTTTATAATGATAGGATGAAAATAATTCAGCTGCTTGTAATATTTAAAGGTTTTAAATAAATATTTGCTTTTTTTTTTATTAACGTGTTTCCTCTGACTTGAAAGCTAAGGTCCATGACTTTAATATGATTAAATCTGTAAAAAGAGCTTAAGATTAGGGAGATGGTAAAAAAGCTATTCAACTTCTAATAATTTAAGTACAATCTCCAAAGATACATTTTTTAAAATGCCAGTGGGAACATGCTGGATTATGTTGAGGCCTAGGTGTCAATTTAAATTGTAGTTGACAGTAAAGAAATTGATTGATTGAATTGCTCTAAAGCCTATAAAGGATTTCCCATTACTTTCTAAGCTATATATATATATATATATGGTCTGTTTTTAACAAAGTGTCATTAAAACATACTTAATTGTTTTTTTTTTTTTATTGCTTCTTCTTTTACTTTTCTTTATTTTCTTTTAAGAGATATATCTCAGATGACCACTTTTCTCACATAAACTTCTCTATTAAATGCAGATATTTGAAAATCAAAGATTACCAGGGGTTTGTGAATTCAGTTCTCAGGTGCATGTGTCTTTAAAAGTTTCTATTTCTCCTACAAAGATCAGGTTATTGGCTAAGGTCTTCCATGTTTCTCTGCTCGCTCTGGTTCATTTGGATCCTTAAGTCTCTTATCCCTTTCCAAAATAATAGACATCACTGACTTTATTTTAATTCAATTCAAATTCAGTTTGTGGTCATGGCTGATTCTAGACAGGGGTCTTTGTAGAATTGGTCCCGGCCCCCGTTATGGCTTTTGTACTAAAAACAACACTGCACCAATTTAAATATATAAGTAAGTAAACTGAAATAAATGTATTTTGCCCTTGTGCATTAAGGTAAGCAGTTTGCTAATGAAAAAAAGATGATTTACTTTTAAAATAAGAAGAAAAAAAACTCAATTAACCTACCGGTATGTCAAATAAGTTAATGATTTCTAATTATGTAATTATCTTATTTTTTTAGAGCACAAATACTCATTCTACCTGCTCAAATTAAGGGTAAATACACTGGTGGAAGAAATGTTTCTTTTGTAGACTAGTTTTTGCAACGTAATACTGAATCAATTTCTTAAGATAATTTTATGCTGACAGAGAAGACCATAACTAACCCTTGGACCAATTTCATATTTTCCTTTTCAGTCTATGTTAACATTTATTTTTAAAACTGCAGTTGGCTTCAAGCTTATGTGGTATTAAGTTCAGTTCAGATTACAGTTTTTATGTTAGATCAAGATGTAACCGTGGCTTTGTTGTAGACTGAATATATTAAATAATGCACTCTTGCCTTGTTTGTTTGCTTTTTTTCAGCTTGTTATTCTTTTGTCTTTGTAACCATTAAATAAAAACTGCCCCCCTCTAAATGTCATCTAGAGCCCACCTTGGAGTGTGGTACTTGTTCTAAAGGTATAGTGGAGGATTTTCGTGAATTTTTGAATAGACCAGTCCTCTCCACTTAAAAAAAAATGCAAATGCACAACCTTGTACCTGCTGCTGAGAGGGAACGCCTATAAAATGCGTGCAAGAGCATGCACAAGCCCATTTCTCCTTGTGCACGCTCTGTTTAAAGTTTCTGTTTGCATCACTCATACAAGCCTACTTTCTAAAAGAAGATTTGCAATTTTTCCACTATTTCAGACTCACCACTGGTAAGTGAAAATGGGGATGAGCATGAAGGACGACCTAACTTAACATATCACCAGAAAGATTGACAATTAGCAGAACCACTTATTTAGATGATCCACCCGAAAAAACATTCTTCACTATACCTTTAAATCTTTTAAATAGATTAAATAATACTACTTATAATTCAGCGATGGTATCAAAGTGTTACTTTATTGTATATCTTGTAACATGTCCATTGGTTTTGCTGTTCTTTTACATCTCTTTGCAGGTGATGAGGCAGACTAAAGTTTAATTTTTTTTATCTCCTCTTTCTTTGATCTTTTCTCCTTTTTTATCTGTTTTTCCTTTCCTGTTCTATTTAAATTGCAGTGTCAATATAATCTGTAATATTTCCCTGCATGAATTATAATAAAGCTATTTATTCATTTATTTATAATTTATCAAACCTGGGCACGGCCAGTGGAACTGAAATAAGCTTTCAAATGAATTTGGTTAAATCCAATATATTTCTGATTTAATAAATTCCGATTGATAATTTTTTTAGGTTGGTTAGGAAAGTTTGTTTTTCTTTAGCATATAAAACCCTCTGAAAGAAGCTGTTTGCTCCTGATAGATTTTTGTTGCAGGGATAGTTACAGAAATCCTGTTGATGGCAGCAATATTAGCCTGACAGGATACTTATAGTATTAGTGGTGATAGTAAGTTTAAGACTGCAGTAGTATAATAAATTATATATTTAAAGCTAGACAAAAACAAAGTGATTGTTGCAGTTGGTTGATTTATAATCCATTTGATCATACCTGCTGGCAGTAGACAGGTCTTTGAGCTTCCTGCCTTCCAGGGAAGCAAGATGCTGCTCCAAAGCCTCCAGGAGGGAGCTGGGAGCCTGAGAAGGGAGCGAGTGATATATGAAATCGAAGAGAAACCATTAGAATCTAAGTCAGGAAGACAAAATGAGGTAAAAAGCTCTCTTTTACCCCCCCGCCGCCTCTTCAGATGTATCTCACATAGACATAAAAAGCAGCAGCGACACTAAGAAACCAATCTCAGATTAAACATTTTACTCTACGGCAGCATGTTTGTTCTGCTTTTGCAGTTTGTTTCATCAGGTTTGGTTGACCGACATGCAAACATTGGCTGTTGGATCATGCAAGCGAGTCTGCAGCAGAACTGACAGACCAGGACAGAGCAGAGCGTCACTGCTGTAGGGTTTCAGAGAAGAAACTCAACAGACTAATCTCTGAACCATCTAATGAGCCCATGCAGAGGCCAGCAGTCCAAATACGCCCTTGTAAGCACGCACATACTTACAGCAGTGTACATCTAAAGCAAATCACCACCCAAAAGAGTTAACTCATGGATTCCACTTCCAGGCCATTGCCTTATGAATGATATCCCAATTAGATTCTGAGACTTGTTACCAATCAAAAAAATAATCAGAGCAAAGAGAAATGACTGGAAACCAAGAAAGTTAACTCATTAAATGTAAAGATCTGTTGAAAAACCAGGTATACACATTTAGCAGCTGGAAACTGCTTCACCGGAAAGCAAATAAGGTGATGAATGGGTTTATTTGGGACACATGTGATACTGTAGCTTTCACCCAGAGCTTTACATTTCCGCATCAGAGAAACACAGCGCAGACACAACAGGCAAAGAAAAGTCTTCTCATATACTTAATTCAAAGGGGGAAAGAGAGTAAAATGCGAATTCTGCATATCCTTCGTCAGAGAAATCTAGAATATGCTAAAAGTTTAAAAACAAAACAGACATAACTACAGCTCAGTAAACGGCATAGCCCACTATGTTGTTGAATAAGGGCATATAAGGTCTTCATAAGCACTGCAAGTCATTAGTTTGTACATTGACCCCTTTCAGTTAATTTACTTGCTTTTGTCCAAATATAATCAACCACAATCACATTCGTATCCACTGTAGAGGGGAAACAGTATAAATGTCGTCCATGGGTTATGCAGTACTTATGATGGCATTGTGTGCTCCTATCCAAGTCATATTTGCAGAAACCTAATTAATCAAAAACCATTCGCTGCTCTCCCCACAGCTAAGGAAAAGGGACAGAATTATTTTTTGGGAACAAAATGTTCTGATTGTTGCTTTTATTGGGGAAAAAAAGGTTGAATACAGTTAACTTGCTTGTATCGTGAGCTTTCTGTAAACAGAGGTCTTTGGTTTATTTTTTTTTTTTTACATAAAAAAGGTCTAATTAAAAAAATGTTAAGGACTTCTTGTGAAATATTCCTGCTTTTTCAACTTTGTTATGCTTAAACACCACAAACTTCAACCACTTTCCATTGGTATTCTATGTAACAGACAAACACAAAGGATTTGGAGTTTGCATATGTATGTTTTTTTCTTTTTACAAACAAAAATCTGGGAAATTATATTTACAATATCTTTCCTGCCAATTCAGACTGGCTAGAGAGACCATTTGTAAACATCAATTCTAAAGTCTTTCTACATATGAAACGTAATTCTGGACTGACAGTATATGATATTAGCCGCTCCATTGGGAGACTGCTTAGCATCTTATTTTGTTGGAAGGGGACCTTCTGCTCCAATCTCAACTGTCTTGCAACCTCTAACAGCTTTTCTTCAGGATTTCCAGTATTTAACCTAATAAATTGTTCAATCGATGCAGAACAACCTCTTCGTGGTGGTCGGTTTGTTCAGGGGGACATACAGTGGTAGTTTTCCTCCACATATTATTTCTTGGAAACCAAAAAGTTTAGCTTGGGTTTCATCTTAGCAGAACATCTTCTTACACATCTACACTTTGAAAAAAAAAAATGGGGTTTCATATTCCTGATCGTTTTCTTGTCAAGAACCTGTTAAATGAAGTGGAGAACCTAGAAGATTCCCACATGTGACATATCTTCTTTATCCAAAAGGGCATCTATCATGTAAAATAACTTCTTTGAACTTTTAATAATTTTCAAATGATCTTATTTTGTTATTCCTCATTAAAACCATGCCCAAAGTGTTTTTTTTCCTGCTTGATTTATGCATGTCTGAGTAATCATGAATGTTGCTCACTAAGCAGTAGCCTCTCCTTGTCTGATCATCTGATCCACCTGCTCCTGCTTCTGTCTAAACTCAGACTGTTCAAACTTGATCCCAGCCATCAGTGCCAGATTATTCTTGAGCCTGTGGTGTAGAGAGGTTTCGAGGGTTACTTTTTGTTGCTGTATTCGGACTTTCGAGCCTGTCTGATCTGTTTGCCCGACCCGTCTTCAGACTCCTGTTGGATTCTTCTTTGGACTGAACCTGCATCTGCCTCTTGACTTCGCCCTGTGGATTATCCTGCCTTCCTTTGTCTGCTCAGATCCGATCTCTTGTCAGCTCTGCAGCCTTCCAGGCTTCCGTGTTTGGAACTCTCTGACAGAGACCGCTGCATCTTGTCAACCAACCGCCTGGAATCATCCTCTTTTTCTGGGCACGGACTGAACTGTCAAACAAGGTTAGTGACTCACATGTTCATAATCATCCTATGTCACATTATGGTCACTAACCTGTGTTTCTCTCCCATAGACTTGCTGTTATAGAGGCCGTACCCGCTGATACCATGGACCCACAGCCCGCGTTTTTAAATAAATGTTTTAAATTATTCCACGGTCTGTCCTGCCTGAATTCTGGGTCGTCTGTTCTGAAACGTTACTATAACAGTGCTGCTGCAGCTCTAGGGCAACATTACACACAGGGAGAGGTAGAGAATGAGGCAAGTGTCATTCTTTTGAGTTTGAAGAAAACAGCTACTTCATAAAAAGTGGAATACAAAAAGGACATATTTCATCATATTTGTCTGCAGTTAACTTAAAAGAAAGCATGATATATAGGACCTTAAAGAAAATAAATTGAGTGTAGATCTATTAGATGGTTAGTATCTCTGCTTTAAACTTCTTAACAACCTTATCTCTGACCTGATTCCTTTCTCCCTTCTTTAGGTTTTTTTGTTCAAACACCACTATATATATATATATATAGTTTTTGCTTTGTGTTGGTTTGTCACATAAGATCACAATGAAATGCATCAAAGTTTGCTGTTTTAACATGATAAGATGTCAATCTGTTCAAGAAGTCCCAACGCCTCTGTGAGGCATTCTACATTCCTGTTATGTCCGTCTAAAGTAAATCTTCAAACAATGCTAAGAAAAAGAAAAAAGTTGTTACCCAGCTGATTAAATTCTTTAGCAAGAACCTTACCTTTGAGCAAAATTTGTTCTGCAATGATTCAGATAAAAAAAGGCATGAAATCCCTCAGATAAAAATTGCAGAAATAAAATATTGCTTCAAACCCATTTTTCAGGTTTCTGTTTATTGTTTCCTCTCTATTCTAGACTCAAACAGAAAGAGAAGCAAAACAAAGAATTCAGGGAGAGTGAAGAAGAGAGGAAGAAGACGGGGCAGCTGCAGTGTGGGGAGGTCTGTAGGGTGAGTAGGGAACGGGAGCTTAAAGAATGAAGCATTATGAGACTGACTGGACGGATTCATAAACTAGTTGACTGGCTGGTTGATTGACTGATTGAGATGAGATGTAGACTGACCTGTGTGAGATCGGGGCTGTCGCCCTGATCTATCCCAACTCGCTGTGTCACAAAAAAGGGAGGGGAAAGGGGAGGGAGGAGGGAGGCAAAATGAAAATAAACCAAATGTTGTACTGAAACAAGAAATAAACCAAAAAAAAGAAACCCAAGAGACCACAGAGTTGGAAAAACGAAAAGGGAAAGAGGCACGTGAAGGAGGAAGAGGAGGAGGAGGAGGGAGAAAGAAGAATCAAACCCAAGCATCCATTACTTCATGCAGTGGCTGGAAAAGAAAACAAACAGAAGACAACAGAGGAGGAGGGGAGGAGGGCACATGCACGCACATACAAACACCTATATATACATATAGTTTACATATATACAGAGTACATGTGCACGCACACACACACTGAAATCTGGAGACTGGTTGGAAATGAATGCGGAGCAGATCGACTGACTGAACGGGCGAGGTGGAGAGAGAGAGGGAGGACAACAGGTCAAAACATCCAAAAAGGAAGACACTCAACTAATGTTGACTTTGAACAGAAGGAGGAGGGGAGGGACACAGATGACACACAAAACAGACAAACACATTTGTTAGACAGATAAAATGAATGGGTCCTTAAAGTCAACGTTAGTTCGCTTGTTTTCTTTCTTTCTTTTTACTGTGGATCAAGCGGCTGCACCCCAAACCTTCTTCCAAATGGGAACGAAATCAAGCAGTGTGAAAGCCTTTGAAGATGACGCATGGCGAAGTGCTACGCAGTCTGCAGAGGATAAAACTATTTATATTCACTGTGAAGTCTGGCAGAAGCTGCTCACTGGATAAAAGCCATCAAATACAAATTATATATCTTTTTTTTTAACTAGCAGGAGGAATAAGGGACAGAGATAGTGATAGAAAAGAGCTTGCTTGGGCATGCAGTGCAGGCATGTGAGCAGGCAGCACACGAGAGGTCCCTCAGTTGGAAGGCTGTACATGAAAGCCCTCTGAGAGACTAAGACTGAATCAATAATGGCTGTCTGGTAGAAATCTCAGGGGCAACGGAGAAACTGTGAGAAACAGGAGAATTTCCAGATACAAAAAGAGATTTGAAACAAAATGAGTAAGAGGAGCCCCTAAGATGCTGATCTGCAGTCCAGTTGCGTAGATATCGACCACAGGTCAGAATCTTGTGGGTGACAGAAATCTGGAGCAAATCTCAACAGTTTGAAGTTTCTGTGTTTGTGTGAATACAGTAATTCATTTTTAGTCATGGATTTATGCAAGTCCAGATTAGTGGAGGCTGCTGAGGTTTGCTCCAACCCGATATTCCCATCGTCTCCAGGTTAGCAGGCAACGGAGTAAACAAACAATACCTCTGCCACTTTGAGAAACTCAGATAGTTTAGTCATTCTGTTCAGGAAGGTCTTGTAGATCTCCAACGCTTCTTTGCACTGATTCTTCTTCATGTCAAAGTATTTCTCTGTCGGAAGAAAAAAACAAAACAAGCTACAATACATTCTTTTGAAATGGTCTGTCGGTTTTTAACAGTAACAGTAACTGTGAAGTTAAAGGAAAAGTATTCATGGTTTTTAAACCATTTGCACAAAAAGAAATAGGAAAAGTGTGGTGTATATTGATACTCAGTCCCTTTGAGTCAATACCCCTATTGTTGCAATGAGAACTTCTAAATGTTGTGGGTACAGGGCCGCTGGAAGTACTTTTGAACAGGGGGTGCTGTGAATC